ATGCGTGAAGATCGTGATATTTTGTGGAACGTGAAAGTATGATTTAATATTTTGTTGATTCACAAATTCATAACGCAGACTGCAGTCTTAAATAAGAGTAGGTTTACAGTTTGATAGAGATTTTGAAGATGTACTTTAGGTAAGGCAAAAAGACTTTCAAATTAATTTCTTGAAGTCACATTTTGTAATGCGGACTTGAATTCTAAATAGGTACTAAAATCTGTAACTTTTCTATTGTTTCAGCTCTGTAGTCAATGCATCGACTGAGCTAGGTATATCTAGTAGGTATGCAAAATAGTAGCGAGTCGTGCCTCCTTGCGAACACGGTCGTGACGGGGACAGTCGCAGATCTGACTCGTGACGCGAACGCTCGATACGTGCCTGCGGGGGTGTGTGGGATGGAGCGGGATTCAACTGGAAGACTACGAATAATGTTACATCATTTACGTGTTTACTATCAATAAAATTTAATTGAGCTATTCTAAATGAAAAGAAAGAAAGAAATAGACTTTATTGAACACAGTAAGCACAAAATATACCTAAACAATAACAACACAAAACGAATGTTGGCGACAGACCTTTTTTATATGCGTTTTTTGTATTTTTTCTTTTGGAATGTTTTTTATATTTTGACGCTTTGTTTTTTTACTTTTTTACTTCAGTTGTTCATTAACCCTTAATTAGTCGCATGGGGTCAAAGCATTTTCGGATTCAAAAATGAAGCACTTGGCGCGGCCCGATTTTCTCCGCGCCCCCAGTAGCTTCATAAAACACGTCTTAGTTTGTATTTTGATAGCGACTAATTCACGGGAGTGGAAGGATGCGTCGCTGCGCTCTTGAGTGGTGACCCCATGCGAGTAATTACGTAACTTTTTTGGAAGTGGTAAGTTTTTTGTTTTATGTATTTATTTTGTGTATTATGAATAATATTTGTGTTATTGTATATTCAGTTAATAAATGTTTGTTATAAATGTGTTTTTACAGCTCTAAACAATAAAAATATTGATAAATTCAGTTTTACTACTACTTTGTCTTTTTTTTTCAGAGTTAGTAGAGATAGGAAAAAATAGCAAATTGTGCAATGGTTGGAAGATGTTTCTGATGAAGAAGAAGTTGGAGGGTCGAGTTCTGAGCCAGAGTTAGATGAAATAACAAAAAGTGATCATGATAGCGCTAATGAGATCGAGCAATCCTCCGCACAATCAAGTGAATCGAAAATGCAAGAAATGTACAAGATTTGTGTGCAATGATCACTCTGAAATATACTGTCAACAGTGTAACAAGAATGATTCCGAGAGTTCCTAAAAAATACTAATATTACCTATGATCTCAGTATACCTAAGTACAAATTGTTAATTATTGACAATTATTTTAATTTAGCTTGTTTTTGTATAATTAGTGAGAAATTCATGTTATTACCTATAGACATTAAATAATAAATAAAGCATTTTTATAATAATATAGTTCATTTACTTATAAAATTTCAGTATGTATTAAAAACTACTCATACAATTTGGGGTCATCTGTGACCCCATGCGAGCAGTTATGTAAGATTCTTTATGCGCGTAATTAAGGGTTAAACACCATTAGTCAAAGACGTGTTTCGATATAGTAAAAAGTGAACATCTCCAAATCAATTAAATATATTATATAGGTATAGTAACGGGCACACCCGGTGCCCAACAACGAATATAGAAAATATTGGGCCACTGTGTCAATAGGCCCGCTCAGCATTTATCCTGACATGCTCGTAAGGGCATGTCAAGAAACTGGTCTTCCGCGAGAGCCCTTGTTGTGGCTTCGCGCATCCCTTCGGAGAGACATCGACTCGAGTTCGATATCTCTTAAAAGGGGTGAGCAAAGAAGGGACACCGGACATTATTACCTACAAAAGGTCATGTCACGACACAACACATCCCACACATAACCACATCGGCAAAAAATATCCCATGACGCTTTATGATGTTTGTAAATTGGAGTTTATCCCGAAGAAGTTGTCTTAGCTTTAACATTAATGGTCAAAGATTTAATGGGCCCAAAACATTTTTTGAAATAAAATAAGAACTAGCAAAAAGCTCTAGCTTTGCTGTGAGCTTTTTGCAAGCTTAGAGGATAATAATATCGAGAAGTGATTAGGGTGAGATCCTGATTCTTAAAAACATTCTCCATTTTTATTTATTTAAGGAGTAAAAAGGTGAGAATTGCAGCAAAAACGAGCACGATCAAAACCCACTTTGTGCGTGTCAGTAAAAAAGTGCTGACAAGTATTTTGTCGCTGCTCCACGCCGCAAGAGCCTCTACGTGCCTCCGCAACTAACTGCGACCAACCTTAAGTCTGTGCGGTTTTGCGTGCACACAGCTGCCAGCCTGTTGTCAAGTGTTTAACTTTACCTTTACATAGAGCTTAGATAAACTCATCGTAGAGCGCAGGTCGAGTTTTTAGAGTCTTTTGAAGAAGACCAAAGTTTATTTTTTAGCGTTAAAGTGTGAGTTTTGACGTGTTCGGAATAGTTGCTAATTGAATGTTTAAAACGGGTTCGGCGTTATGGCCTTTTCGAAAATGTGAATTTTATAGCATTATTTACAAATTGACTTCTGAAAATTATATTTGAGAATTTGCTCTGCATATTTATAACAAAATAAGTAAAGTAGTTTCTTAGTCACTTGTATTTAATCAAGTGCAAGTTAAGCTAGTGAATCATAATAATATCTTATTAACTTCACCGACTTTCCTTTTTTATTTCAAACAATGTCCTATCCCAGACACCTTTAAAAGATGACCTCGCGATAGACCACCTAAATTATGTCTTTCCAACTTTTATGATTTCTTTTAAAAAAATCGTATGATATGCAATTACATAATAGTAAATTCACACACCGTTATTTGCGTAGGAACGAACGGTGTAAGTTTATCGTAAAAATATTAAAGTCTACTTTGATGACGGCCATATTCGTACAGATTACTATAATGGTTACTGTTACTGTTGTGACACATACCACAATACGGGCCGTAACGTAGAGCGCACGCATTCCAAGAAACAGACAATGGAACACAGCTGGCGAATTGAATACCTTTTCATTCTGCAGAACTGCCAAATTCAGATAAGGTGGCACAAGTAAGCTCCTAAAAGGAACTTACACCCGAGTAGGTACACGACTAAAGGGCGGGCTTATCAATCTGTTTGAACTACTTACGATTTAGGTTGAAAGAAATAAATAACAAGGCTGTGGATACCTTAATTATTCGTTTACTTTAGTCAAGTACACACTTAGATGTTTACAATTTAGCACATTAACACCTTTAAAAACTACTTACAGGCATTAAACTCTGGTGTCAGTTTTTATGGGAGGCAGGCGTCAGAAACTGCTAAGTAACGACCATTATCGGAGGCAGTAACCGAGAACTACTTCGGCCTTCTAAGAAACAATGATATTGTAGGAAAAAAGATTTTCATTTCCGGAAAAAAGATAAATGATATCGAGTTTAGTATAGTTGTAATCTCATTTATTGTTTATGCTGTCGGTGAAGAAGATTGAGACCCATTACTAAGAAATCGAATCACTCAAAATTAAAACCTATTGAAATGAGTAGGTATTTCGTTTGAACCTATACTTGATTTTAAATCAAGATGGCCTAAAACTATTGTGTACGCATGCGATGTATTATAATTATATCTCCCAAACACGCATACACATAACGCCACATTTTCCGTTCCATGTTCTACCCATAAATTATCGGAGCCATCGTTATGAACTGCGAAGAGGAACCAATCGGCCTGACGACTTCATCAGCGTAGGAAGTAATAAGTTCCTGTGTCATCAACTTTCGCGAAGGAAGTCGCGCGGCAAGTTAGTCATTTGCCGCGCATCACGAACCTATAAGCTTGGTGCAGACCGGCCCACGCAACGCATTATGCACAGTGCAGATAATGATCTTATGTAACTCACTAATTATTCACCTACCACAATTATTACCTATCACGCATCCAATCAACAGTGCACAACGTTATAAAGTAATTACTAATTAGTAATGAGATGAGCCTAATACAATTCAAGTTACAACAGCTTGATAAAATATTTCAGAAGCGTTTACTCTGTCTGTACACCTCTTATCTTGGAATCACTAATTGTAAGATTACATCTTCCGCAAATAACAATTTCTTCGAACGATGTCAAACCTCTGGAATTATAGAACACCGAGATTACATCTCCGAGGCTGTAATTAAAGCTGCAATGTAATAATTACAATTCGAAACAAGTCGGTTTTTACTTCGAATGATTACATCTAATCGGTGATTTGAATCAGCCATTAGAATTAACAAAACATCAAAGAAAAGTTTATTTTTTACGTTTAATCATAATTGCTTCTACATTTTTAGAAACAAAAACTGGAATTAACGAATTGCTAAAGGAGACTTTCTATATCGATTTAGAAAATAAATACTTAGGTGTCTATTAGAAGTTAGAAGACTGCGCACGGAAGTAGCGTGCTCCCTACTATCACTACGCTTTTTTACGGTAGATACGTCTACATTTTTACTGTGCTGCTATCCTAGTATATTTACTATCCTGATGATCCTTTTCCCTATTGTTGAACTATTTATAGTTGAACATTATTGTCTTAAAACTAATTAAACTTATTTGGCTTGTGCGTTCACTTCAGTGACAATTAGGTGCAAAATTGGCTATATTGGGATACTGTCTTCACGATGACAGCTAATCCCTGATAAATAAGTGGTAACTGGCTGTGAAGTGAGCCTACATCCTTTGGGGATAGCCTAGGTTCTACCTAATTAAGCAAGTACTTAAAAGCATTTGTAATGTTAAATGTTTTAATTTTGCTACACCCTTATAGGGTTAATAATTATATGTACCTACGACGCACTGAAACATGTTATATATTTGCTGTTGCTGAGATTGGGTGGGTTATCATACACGTGCCTCCAGAGCCTTTTAAACATGAACGGTTAGATAGAGTCGCCAAATAGTTGAGCACTGACCTTGTTTGACCGAGACGTATTTCTCATTGAGGGCAGCGACGAAGGCGGCCTGGGGCAGGCTGTCCTCGAGTGAGAACAGCTCGTCCCTGGTGACGGCGGTGGAGCGCGTCTTGAGCACGGCCTTGGAGCCGATGGGCGCGAGGTATGCGCCGGCGCCGTCGCGCAGCGCCAGGGCTCCCGAGTGGTACTCGGCGCTGAACAGGCACACGGGTGTGCATGTGTCTAGGAGCTGTGGGGAGAGATATAATTGTTAGTACTTCAATTCTTATTCTTTCTAAGCAATTTTTCTCGCTACTTCGGGATGTATAACCTAACCAAGAGTGCTGAAAAGCGGCGGAAAACACAGTCATCAACCTTCATCAACCAAAAAGCTTTGGCAGTGGCAAAAGTGGGCAAAGGACATTTCTTTGTAAAATATAGGTACACAAACTAGGTATGGTTCCAGAAAATCTTTTACCAATAAATACGCTAAATTTTTATGAAATGGTCACTTAATGAAGTTGTTCTCTGTCAAAAGATGGAATTGGGGAATACTTATTCATCCATCCATAAAACCTCTGATAAATTGACTAACCTAGTTACATAGAAGATAGCAGAAAAATAGACAAGCACTACAAAATTACGAGTTTATAAAACTGATTGTGTTTAATAAGCACCTAAAGATTTGCATGCAAAGCCTCCCGTGAAGAGAATGTGGGTCAATTGCACACGACTCAAGCCACGAGAGCTGATCACTATCACCTCCACGCGACCACCCAGCGCGGATCTAGATCTATCACAATTACCTGACTCTTCGCAGCTTCAGTGAGAAACGATAAAAACACGCTAGACAATAATTACACCAATTACCATTAAAAGTAAAAAAGCTACATCCTTGTACGAGATTCCAGACAACTTCAATAAAATAATTTTAGGCTAAAACTATCCATCTTTAAAATATTATGCAATTCAAAGCTATAACGTCTTGAAAGAAAACTGGTCTTATGCCTATTCGTACAATTGGTACAATGTACAAATGGAATAAAAAATAAAGCCATACAAACGTTTACGACGAACTCATTTCTAACGTTTATGATTCATTGTCCGGCCGGCGTTGATGTGGGAACAACACGTCGGTAAATAAAGCCTTTCTTTGGCTCATATTAACACACACTTAAGGTGCAATTTGTCAAGTTAACTGCCGTTGACTGTATTCTTACGCATTCATCTCACTCGTGTTTATTAATGAACGGGTGGAAAGGCTTTCTACGTCTGTAACTTTGTTATTGTTGACTATTTCTTAAGAAAAGAGAATGTCACTAATGTTAGCCATACAAAACTTTTACATAAAGTTATGTATACCTCTGCATTTTCTTGTGTTGACAAATATAGAAACACGAAATGATTATATCTCTCAGCTTCTTCTAATACTACAAGCTCTAACTCTACACCAGAAAGCATCTTGTTATTAGGTATCTACCGTTTAATTTAAAATTTTCTTGATTACACATTTACGAATACATTTTGTTTGTAAGTCGATGTCCTACAGCTTCCCCCGCTACGGTAAAGTTGGCATCTAATTAACTCAACACAAACATCCTCATGGCTTCGACAACAAGGCTGGAACAACAAGTAGCGCCGCTGGCGTCTTTGTTCCCACGCGCGCTCAATATTCGTACGAGAACATATTATCCACGCGAAATAATAACAGCGATTTGTTCGGGAAGCCATTGTTTGCAAAATAAGTAACGTCTTCAGGGCTGACAACAAGAATCTACCTACTAAAAAACTCATAAACTCATAAAACTCATTTAATTAATGCAAGTAGGCTTTAAAAAAGCACTTTAATACGTCCCAGTATTAATCCAACAATAAATGGGCCAGTGCTGAGAAAAAGCAGCACATGAAACTCAGTCACTATTGTCAGCCAGCTCTCTGTCACTATAGTGTGACAAAGAAGCCTTCATTTTTCATTTGGAAACTTTTTACAGATGTCTACGGTAGATTCTAGGTTGTGGAAATATTCAACTGTTAAATTTTAACTCAATCAATTTGAATAAAATATACAGATTCTTTGATCCTGGCAACCCTAGTGCATACGCAAAGCACTACAATTTGCAATAACACTCGGCGTCTGTCGTCATCTGTCTGAAAGTGTTTACATCGCCGACTCACAAGAATAATAAACCGCCGTTTTTATCTTTCACATATTCGCAGTATCGAGAGAAAATTGACGAAAGCTTTCCTATTTAGTATTTATCTAACCACTAAAAGAAAGTTAAATAAATTATTACTATTGCCTCTCTTCACTAACTCTATTCACAGAAAATGGTAAAGCTATAAATGATGATTTATAAATTAAAATTCTAACTCACGGGACTCTCTCCATGCAGAAATCATTGGTTCAATACTATAATGTATAGTGGGAAATACAAACTAGTATAAACTATTTTATGTGGACGTTTCACCAATTTTGTATGTTTGCCGGGGCACCATCAATACGAGCAAGAATCGATAGGAATCTACCTTGGGCCAGGGCATGTTCGGGATTTGTATATCTTATGGTAGTCTCTCTCAGGACTTACAAACAGTACAAACCCCTACAGAGCCCAGCCCTAAGAACGTAAGAACTGTCATAGGGCTGGGACACAGCGATACAGCGTCAACAGGGGATCCTCGTCCTAGGGCATGTGGCATCCCCTGGGTCTCACGTTACTCCCGTGCTGGGCACTACTGGACAGGGGACACGGGACTGACCTTGCCTCCCGCGCTGAGGTACTTGTTGTTGCAGGTGTGCAGCGCGTACTTGCCGCCCTCGTCGGCGCGGAACTCCAGGGTGAACAGCGTGTCCTCGCCCCAGGGCACGTTGGCGTCCACGTGGATCTCGTCTAGCGATTCGGATAGATGCGCGAACCGCTTGCGCCCGATGGAGCGCAGGTTCACCTGGTGATAGAGTAGAATGGTCAGAAAATAAAGCAAAATTGAAATTCTATACGCGGCGTCCGACGTTCTACGACGACCATACGCTGATGTCAACGTCTGAAAGATACCACAACAATACATTTCGATATTAGGTAAACATTGTGACGCGGCCTACGGCGTGACGCTGTACGCTGCCGGAGTTTTTAGGACACCACGTCCACAGCACAGCTCTAGTTTTGACCTGGATTGATCGGCTAAATTAATTCCTGGGACTGATTGGGACAACATTGTTATCGTCGCTACTTCCATAAATCTCACCTCCTAGGTTTATTTTCAGTTTAGGATTTAAATGCGCATCATAGCTTGAACGTAGTTGTTACCGACTCGTTGACTTTAATATAATTTCGACTTGTTTTGTTTCATAGGACTGCAGTAGGTAGGTGCTGGACAGATTCACTATTCATAAGTTCATATTTCATAGCCCTCTATCACCGCATATTGATGTAAATTTAATTTGTCGTTTAAAAAGTGTAAACTTAATGTACAAATGTTTGCTACACATCCACAACCACAACGAAAATTCACTAAAAAATCACTCACTTTCACAACCAAGAAAAAAATCTATCGCGTCCTATGAAACACGGGTTGACAGAACGACGCAACTTTGCCGACTGCCTACAAATAAGGCCTATGAAATTATCTAGAACTTCTTACCCACATATTACCTAAATATTATTAATAACGAAGCTACCTACAGTTTATTTGGTTTTTAATTTTATTTAATTTCCTTGATATTGTTTTTTTATTTTTCATTTTCGTAATAAAATAATTACACTCATAAGAAATGCTTTTCAATTTATTTTTTAATACGCCATTAAAAGTGCAGGCATGCGTGCTGCTTAGCAATTAATTAGGTTAATGCAATAATGCGACGCGATACGTCGCTCGCAATTACGTCAACCCCTTGTCCAGAGAATGTTCACAATAATTTTCCGCGCAATTGGAACAAAATTCCTGCCAGCTTCTTATATCTTTCCGCGCGTATCTTATCATTAATTTCGGAATATCACCGAATCCTGCGCGGGCGCATCGCGGAATGTAGTGCAGTTATTTTCAATGCAGTTGACCGCAGCTTCGCGACCGTTTGTTAGCGGCTTAGCGTTGGCGGTGGGCGCTCGGTAGTGTGAGACCAAGTCCGATTTTGTTCATAAACTCTCTAAAGTGATTATTTTGTAAATTGAGTAAGAAGAAAGAAGGTATTCTCCGTTGGTATAATTACTTTAAATATAGGATTTATATTTTTGTTTTCTACTATACCTAATCATTTTTATTATTGTTTTATTACTTATTAAAACTTCTTACGGGATTATTTAGAAGCATTTATCTTCCTAACTTAAAATCTAGGGTACTTCTGCCGTTTATAATTACTCAATCATAGATACTGAAAGCTAATGATAGTTAATGAACAATTAATTGAAACATCAAACAATCAAGCATTATAATTTCAAATTCAAGCAATAAAATTAATGTTTCAACACACTCCTCAAGTTCCGTTTTTTTTTCGCCATTTGCTGTCATCAATGTCAATGTCACCCATTTTAACGCAAACTTGGCGCATCCACATCATGTTGACAGGATTCAATTAGGTATCGCGAGACATTCTGTCACGAGCGCTGCGCCCGCGCATCGAGATGAAACCATGATAGCGCGGGAATGCGCTGGTTTCACATCGAGGCAAGCCGATCTTGCCGCGTCACTGTCAAGCATTTAACTTACGCAACGCGAATTTCTCCCAAAATTTAATATCATGTATGTATAATTATGTTAATACCAGATATGACCAGTCATCGTGACATTTGCATTTTGTAACGGCATGCAGATCAACGTTATACAGACCAGTGCTGTCTGTTGATGACTTTTGAGGCATTCCGTCACGTTCGTTTTGGGGTTATGACAATGTTCATAGACTGCAGAATTCTTAATTTTACAAGCTGTGTTCTACTACGTTTCAAAATGTTGCTATTTATTATACCTTGAGTAGACTGCTAATTTTATCAGGGACTAAATTAGCCGCGCACTGGTTGCATTTTATTGGTGGTCAGGTTGTAGATTCTGGCTAAACAGGAGTTCCAATGGAGGGACGAGAGGGCACATGCGTCGCGTAGTGATCTGTAGTACAAGATCTTTTATCTTGTGGCTATTGACAGCTAGAGAAATTAAAATCCATCAAAGTGGAATAGAAAATTGTAGCTTCTATGAAAAACCTAATTGCTTCTTGATTACTGTTAATTGGCAAACACGAGCAACATCAATAAATCATCGCAGTAAATACCGTTGTTCACGTGACAAGTGTTAACGTGATAACACATTATAATTATTCTTTTTCAAGACATTTTCAGTATCACTCAATTATTATAAGTAAATAAGTACTAGAATTAACACGATTCGGCTATATTTATGTAGAAAACAAATACATATTAATTAAACTGTAACTGTCAACCTGATTTAATCTGTCATACGAACATCATCTCCTCAACCGTTCAACCAGGGTGGGCCCTGATGATGACAAATGGAAGTGTAACCAAATCTTCAATTTGTCTGTGATAAATTAAAGTGGGTCGTCCTTCTGCGGTGGAAATTATGAGCTTTTTCAAATTAATGACGTTTCTAGCCGAATGTTAGTCTCCCTTGTTAGTGTGTGGTCTTGCAAACGCAAAACTGACGTTCTGCTAGAAACGTCTGATTTGAAGGAGCTCTAAACGACCTGTAGGCCTAGGATCCGCATCACGATAAACTTTTATCGGGGCATTTTATTGATTTTACACGAAAAATGTATGGCATTGTCGACTAAGTCAACGATAAGATTTTATCACGGCGCACACCCTGGCCCGGTTGATGAAAACTCATAAAACTCATTTATTTTAGCAAATATTACACATCCCAGTAGTAACCCTACCACTGCTTCGGGACCATAAATGGGCCAGTGTTGAGAAACTCACTATAGTTAGCGCTCCTGCACACGACGCCGCCACCGCGCCGCCGCGGCGCCGCACCGCCACCGCGCCATCAAAGCATAATTTCGGTGGCGGCGCGGCAGCGGGCTTCACGCGGCGCGTATAAACAGTGCAAAGGCGTGGGGCGGCGCGGCGGCGGTGTCGTGTGCAGGATCGCTCAGGCTTTCAAGGGTGATGGATGATGATGTTGAGTCTCACTTGCGGGCGCGCGGCGAGGTGCACGTGCCACAGCTCGGCGTCGCCGGGCACCTTGGCGGTGCACGTGAGCTTGTCGGAGCTGGAGCCCAGGAAGTAGCCGCGCTCCACGTTCTTCAGCGCCCAGCGCCCGCTGTTGTCTTCTGACACGCTGCCGGGGAAACTTATGTTAGAAATTTGCACATAAAACACACTTAATTGTAAATTAAATTGTAGTTGTATCGTAGTACGGGCAAACGACAACCTAATTCATCATGACCACCAAGATTTTGATATAGAATTTTTTATTAAAATCTCAGTCAGTCGCACGTAACAAGGTTATCATGACCATGCTCTTGACTCTATTATTTTTATTCTATTGTATTGACTCTAGTAGTCAGACGTTGTAAAGATTTTAAGAAAAAGTACGCTAGTAACTAAAACTATTTGATGACTATAAATAACTGTTTGGATAACAGGTTGAAAAATTGCGAAAGCTCCTCGGAGTGGTAATGAAAAAGTTTGTGTTTATAAACAAAGCTCCCGCCGCAAACACGCGAGTCAATTACCTCCGGCGACGGACAATTAACTTATTACTACAGACGGGTTCTTTCTTTTATTGTTTTGCAGTCGCAGATGGAAGGAATTCCAGCTTCATTCGTTTCATAAAAACGAAATCACGAAATGACCCTTTGGAATTAAGGCATCTTTCCTACAATATAACCAGCTCTTAGTAATATTGCTTGTGCGACCTTATTTTCATTCAATGGTGAATGAAGTCCCAAGAAATTGATCAATTAAAAAGCAAAGACAATAAATCTCAATAAGCAAATACTCTCTTGGCAAATAATTGTTTACCGAACTCATTAGCAAATACGCGAGCATGAGAACTAGGTACCTATCCACATTGTAACTACCTTATCGAAATATTACATCAAATCAATTAATCATAGCGCTTCTTGATACAAAGATGCTTATTAGCAAAAGAACGACACTCCTCTCCCCTCTTGACGCCAATTACTACTTTTTGTTTGCTAGCCCGTTATTCAGAATCCCCTTTCTTATTTCCATACTCCAACGCAAATTGAACATTAAGCGAAGTATCATTCAACTCATTTTCATTAAAAAGTAGCTAACTGCAGAGGTGAAGTGGTGCTGACTTAGCGTTTTCAAAATTCAAGAAGTCTTCACAAAGGAAAGCTGCGTTGTTCCTACTTGATGTTTCCGAACGTTAACCAGCATTCGTATTAAAATGACTGCGCATTATAACTGTTATTTGCACAATAGAAATCGTTTTATTGCTGAATGCTAAGCCGCTGCAACATTAAGATTACTGAGTTTGCTTTTAAAGTGGGGAACTACCCACCTTTATAGATAATACTTAAAAACTTTCATTGTACCATAATCCATAGGACCAAAGCCAGGAAACATGTTTGTGCCCTTCAGAAACTAGCAGTCACCGCAAACGGCGACCATTGTGAGATGAGAAAGCAAAACAAAAGGCGACTAGCAACACAGTCTATACCCTATGCGAGGTAATTGAAAGCCGTCTGGGGACGAGGGTGGTGCGTCGTAGACAGGAAGCTGCGGACGAACACACCTGGGTGTGGACAAAGCGAATCATTCGTGAGGGTCTATTAATTTTAATACTATTCCCGTCCTCAATTACTCCTTAAAAAGGAGCTTATGGGAATATAAAAACAAAATGTCGTGTGCATTAGACAAGAAATAAAAACATGATGACATTTTCTTTTTCCATGCAGCTTTAAATGCCAAAGAATTCGCATTTAACTCAAATGGCACTATGGGGAAAAGCTTTTTTAAAACGACAGAGGTAAAGTGGGCAACTTTTAAAGCTTTTATTGTGCTTGGTGCTATTGGACTTTTAAAGTCGTAACTTATGTTACTATTTGATATAAAACATGTTCATCAGTTCACGATTATTCAAAATTACTGAGGTTTATGTACGTAGGTATTTAAGGCATTTAAAGAATCTGAAGTGGTCATAATTTTCCCAATCAGTTTTCCCCTTGGCACTTTTTACGCATTTTCAAGTTTTGCTCAAGAGGGTTTCAAGCTGTAGGCATAACTTTGCCAAACGATCATTAAATTTGCAGTCGCGTTTATAGCTATGTCTACACAATTCGAACCCTGAAGGTCACCACGTGAATCGGGTACTTGTCCCATTAAGATAGAGTCTAATCTCCATTAACATCTGCCTCCCCACCGGGATACGAGCACCCCCAGTATCCTTAGTTTGGAACCCCTCCGCTCAAACACTTGTTAAAACAACTTGTCGTGAAGGATCAATAATTTTGGAGCTTGCTTTTGTCAGGTTAACAAAGATCTAATATTTATCATTCAATGTCACCACAGAATACACCTCTCACGGTCGAGATTCCTGTTTTAGACAAAAAATGATTATTTTATGCAATTATTATTTTATTAGTATTTTTATTGAAGGAATATTACCCCACACAGGTTGTCTCCCATAAGCTTTGTATGTACTTCAATGACTAACGCGGTAGTAGGTGCTGAAAAACTTTGCGTCCAAACATTGATTTTATTTTCAGGGATTGCTAAAAATGGAGCTGAAACGTCCGCGCATTGTGCGATGTTATTTCAGCATTGCAGCAATGAATCAGAAGTGAGTCAGACCGCTTTCTCCCTTTTATTTATTTACCGAAGAAATGTCGTGACTCATGGCTGACAGAGAACTGTTATCTACGCCTGTATACCGAACAACTACATACAATCAATAATAGACACAAGCCACTGACGCGACGCGAACTAGTCAACACAAACAATAACTTGTTCATTTATGATCTGTTTAAGTTATTATACATTTATTTATTCAAGCACAAAAATAATCCAATTATCGTTTTTTTAATTTCCGTGATTGTTTTGTGGTTAATTCAATTAATCTTTCAAGAAAAGATTGTTTTAACCTGTTATGTTCAATGTGTTATACAAGTAGTATAAATATTATTTGATTTATGAAATATTTGTTTCACTTGATGAATCAGATGTACATTGTACACAGCTCAACAACATTGTAACTCTAGAAAGTCCATCCATCTTTATCGATATTTTTTAAATTGTATTTTTAGATTGTCACGTCAATAACTTTTGAAGTTATGACTCTTTGATACGAGTACAATGACTCTACTAACTAGGATTCACATATTATTATTATATTAATGGTCCTACTTGAATCACTTGAACACGACACTTCGAAAAGGATTTAGGAGTATTTTACTGTATTTTATTGAAAAAGAGGCTTGACACAAAAGTGAGTTTCTTCCGCCACTTCTTCTCAGCACCAGCCCATATGTTTTCCCGAAGTGGTGGTAGGGCAAGCTATATTTGGGACATGTATAGTGCCCTGGAATATGTGTACTGCATAACTGAACAGTGAGTGACAAGATATTATGTTTTGATTAATTTAGTTCGTTATATTAGTCACCTTCTGCTCCACTGCTGGTAGGTACATCTATTTGTCTTATATTTGACTTGTCATTCAGGTAAACCGTGAGAATGACTTCTTCATCACTGGTTTAATAAAAATAATAAAGCCTTATTCCGGATCCCCCGGCGTTTTTTGCGACGACTGCGCCGCATACTAATCCGCTGCACCCTGACTCACCGGAAGCGAAGGTTTTTGAACGCGTGCGCATAAAACATTTTGTTGGACGATTCGTGTTTAGAGTCTTTAATATTGTCTCTTAACTCCTAACTGCTTGACGACAATCGTCCGATTTTAGTTGCATCAGATTTATGGGAGTTTTGCCCCTAAAGATAGAGTCGTGAACATACTTTTTATGAGCTGTTAAAATGAGATTTCCATAAGCCTAGGCGCAGACCACCGACTTTTAGTTGGCCGATAGTTGGGCTCGATTCTAATTTGTATGAAGAATCGGCCGATACCAAATCGGTGTAATGTGCGCACTTTCTCCATACCGTTTACCAACAGCCCGATCCAACTATCCGCCAACTAAAAATCGGTGGTAGATTTTGTATGGCAAGGACAAACCACTTCTTCGCAACTCAACTGACTAACTATGTACCTATTGATTTCAAAGCTACTAAAAGCTAAAATATACATATTGATAAATTAATAACCTACCTAATAGGGAGATTTTATTGTAAGAAGTTGTGTCGTTTGTCATGGCCCATGGGTTTGCGTAAAAAATTGGTTAACACGTACCTAATTTGGAATTTGCTGCCGGCCTCCTTCTCCTCGGACTCGCAGGTGACGTTCCCGAACGAGTCCACGGCCAGGTACTTGTCGAGGTGCGAGCGCAGGTAGATCATGCCTGGAACAACGGGCAGCATTATTATTGGTTGGTTCACCTTAACACCATTTATTTCCTGCACTGCTTAAGTACGAATCAGGTTCGAGCACTGAGGGTCTTCTTCAACCATTTTTTTTCCTAAAACGGAGATGCTCTTGGCCTGTATCTCGCCTGATGGAAAGTGATTATTAAACAAAAATAAGATCCAAATCTAGTCTGATTTAAGGAAGCAAATAGCACTAATATACTGCTCTCATAACTAAACTAACTAAATAAGTAACTAAATTAATCTATTGATTGACTTGCAATAAAGTAGAGTTTGTAAAAAAGCTATTTTTATATTTTACGAGTCTCTACATCTCAATCAAACATCTCGGATTACCATGTTCGATTACAAATTGTAATCTGTATTTACCGATATAATAATGACTCTACAACTCAAGTGTATGTTTGCAGACTGTGATTATAAACAAACACCATCAATCTATGTTGATCCCGAGCTCGAGCTGCGGTTATCTACTTGATTATTAGTTAGTAGTTTAAATGCCTATGGATTACCTGTGACGAGGCAAATTTAGTGTAAGCCATTATCTGTTTCCAATTAACTTTAGAAGATAAATATTGTGAAAGCTGGAGATTTAATGTAGAACAATACGAGTTTTTTAAGGTGAACCCTTATAAAGACTAGATAGTGTTTTATGAATTTGTATTAAAATACGAGAGGGACAGTTATTTCCTTCATTTGTTATTATTCTTTGATGAAGAAGAACGTACATGTGATATTTGTTTACAAAATAGTCCACCCAATCTTGCACCAGAAAAAATGGCATCGTTTGTTTATCAAATCTGGAATATTAAAGCTAACATAAAGCTTGCCCACTCTTCTAGCACTCCAACCTCAACTGACAACTGACACCCGGCACAAACACCTGAGCGCCACACGGCGGTATCGATCGCACGTTCGGAGGGGCCGGACCAGGGGCCCGACCCTCTCGCAGCGAGGAGGGACGAGGCCATAAAATTGGGAAATACACCGAAAGTGCAGTCTAATTGAGAGGGCGCTATATTTAGTTACGATTCAATCATAGGCAACAATAGGACGAAATCGTTTCCATGTGATGAGCATACGGTGTTCAATGAACTGGAGTGAGAAATGTTATGGTCAATGTTATGGTCAGGTTACTTACTCGTTTATTACTTTTTATGGGAAGCTGTAGACGGAGTCGCTGACATAACTTACTATCAGCCAGATTATTATTTCGTAGTAATATACATGGGTTATAGATTAACAAATCAAATAAGTAACACACGTGTGAAGTCGCTTATTTAGTGGCTTCAAGCTCGGAAGCCAAATGGAAGCCCTCCTCCAAACAGAGAGGGTGCTTCGACAATTAGTCTCAAAAACGACGACATAGGACGATTAGGTTATGAAATGTTTAGTTTGCTATAAAATCAAAGCATTAACAGTTAGGTTTCCAAAACAACTAACACGGTGTTTGTTTAAGTTTTAAATAGCACAACATTGCGAGTAATAAGTGAATCAATCTATCTAACCTAAATAAATATAAATCCTTAAAATTACTTACTTTGAAAGTAGAGCCAAGTACAATAATGATGATTCAAAAAGCGTTTAACCACCCGTAAACATTGCTATCAGTATCAGTCAAAATCATTTAGTATCCATTAGGCGTATCTTTCTCACTAACAGAACTATTGTCAGTAATGATGTTTACAGCATGGACCTATAAAAAAAGTCGGACGGAGTCTCATCAACAAAATACTGTGACATTAGGATACACCAGCTTGCCTGTACGTACAGGCCGGCACGCACACATTCACACCCTGTTACACCACTTCGAGAGCAAACTTCACACAGTTGACACATTTAAGCAGCGAAAAAACAACACGAATACGACATGTCTTGTGTGATGAAATTGTGTAAAAACCGTTCTGTTCGAACAAACAAAAATTAAGGAATCACATTTCACAGGTAAAATAATAATCCAATCACTTATTTCCCGACATTAAAATATTGAAATTAATTGAAATCAAACGTCATTCACTCGAAAAAATAATACGTCAAAGACCAGTGTTCTCAGTTATTTACGTGGGAAAATTACCCGAAATATGGGAAATTAATAATGATTTTAGGACTTTTTAGTTATGTATTACGCATACTATGGAAATAAAATAATTTATCATAATTATTGTGTTTTAATGGGATATATTTTCATAGGCAAATTTGATCCTTCCCAAAAATGTGGAACTGCGAAATTCAAATTTTCTTACATTGATTGCAAGTCAGTGTCAGGTTGTATGTTAAAAAATATCTATCAGAGATAATAATAATATATTGATGATGCATAAGATTATGATTATAATGTACACAAGATTCGTAATTTGTAACTGCGTGAATTATTTTTGATCAACATTATGTACATACCCTGACACACTGACTTGCAAACAATGTAAGAAAATTTGAACATTGAAAATTTCGCGCCTACCTCAACGCATACACCTTTCATCCTTTTAAAATGGCACGGAATAATTCTGTCTACATTTCCAAGTAACATCTGCCGATCTATGTTTTTCTTAAAATAAATGGGTAAAATGTTTTGGCTAACATGGCATCCCTAAATTCACTCACACAATAGACAAACGCCAAAATTTTGCGTCACAGTTTTGTTGTAGCGCGAGTTCCGTCCGCCTTTTTTTATAGGTCCATGGTTTACAGTTTACGAAATCTTTTAATTAGGTACGAGTATTTGAGTAGACTCTGGGAGCGAAAGGACTATAAAAGCTAAAATTGACCAAATATTCATTATTCATTCACGAATCACGACAAACAGATTTAAACAATGGGTCTGTCTAAAATCGATATACCTAATGCCCTGATCAAATTATATCGTAGTTAATGTTCATGCTAGCATGACTGATGATGACATTGAACAACAATATACCCAAACTTTTGAGGACCCTTTTGTAATCTTATGGATTTGACAATTAAAGACAATGTGAAGGTTAAAGGACACTCACACTTATCAACCTGGAAACGGATCGTAACCGCAGCTCGAGGCGGTCAGTATTCTATGTACGAAACTTCGCAATGCACACTTATTCGCACCGTAACGAAAACGCCTCGCCTCACTTCGCCTCGCGGCGGAAGGCCATACGGTGTTGATCCCTTTCCCAATTGATAAGTGTGCTACATATTAACCAATTTGAAATCTACTCACTGTCATTTGCGTTCCCCGAAGCTGGCTCTAACGTCCATATCTGTTTCTTCTTGAGACTGGTGCCGTTGGCGTTGATCTTGAAGCCGAAGGTCTCGGCCGTGAGGTACCGGTACCGCGAGTTGATGAGGCCGATGGTCCACCAGCCCTTCTGCTGGTTCTGCGTGATGATGTCGCCCGCACCATTCATGTCGCCGTTGCTGTGCCCGTTCAAACCGTTCATTGTGATCTGCAGGCAATGGAAATTGATGTTAATAAACAGGTTAAACACAAAACATAGCTTACGATTTAATTTTAAACTGTTATTTTAAATTCAGAAAATATGGTACACGGCGATATTTTACAAATTACAGCTCAGCGCTAAGTTGCAGTTAAAATTAATTCTCCACTAGTGGCCGCTCGCGACTTCGTAAGTTCGTACGCGTGGACCCCGTTACCCCCTTAAAAGGATGGACTTTCGTAAAATACGTTCTTAGCAGATGTCTAAGGAAAGTACCTGCCCAGGTTTGTAGGTGCCCAAGTTTCTGATATTTCGTGATGAGAGAGTCAGTCAGCGACCTTTCGCTTTTGCTTTTCTATATAGATTACATAATTATGTTATGAAGAAGAAAATTATGAATCAGGAAAAGTTAAATGAACCACGTTATTAGTAATTTGATGTCAATTCCGACAAAACTAAGCGTTCAAAATAAATATATCAAACTGCTTGCAATAAAAATCAATTATCGTTGTGAAAACAAGTTCCAGAGCGGAAAACACAAAAACAATCTATAAATTAGTCAAACATCCAAACTGACAGGCGTTAAAATACTAGTCAGTGCAATTTGTCACGGCGAAAAGCGCCTTTATAAAAAAGACAGCCATTGCATCTAAAGCGAGACGAATATTACCAAAACTCATTTCTCAGAAGTCTTGAGATAAAAATAGACTTAAAACAATACCTAAAATATTTTCCTTCTTCGTTCCTTTCATCGTTACGGTCTTTCCTTTGTTTCCCATCTAAAACTGAAGTTATAATCAAGACGTACCTAGTAACGAGAACAGTAAGAATCAAACTTAAGTTTTATTTTAAGTTCAATAAAGATTCTCCATTTATTCAATTCGAAATCACCTTTCCAATTAACTATACTCTAATAAATACATTCGATTGTAATTGCGCCAATAAAATCGAGATGTTTATTGGTATCTTTGAATTCAATTGCAGATGCCCATATAAGCCGATAATAAGTCTCATTCTCCAGCCAATCCATAAAGAGGCAATTGTAATTGCTATGAAACTACGCAAATTAAAACTGTTGGAAAACAAATGTGGATTCTTATTTGCATGCGAATGTGTCCATGTGGCCATTTAGGTGCCGTCTGCAGTGCGGTTAAGGGAATTAAACTCGTGCTGGAGTCAGGCTTTCTATCAGACGGTCACGTCAGGCCCCATGCGGGGTCGCGCAGCGTCGCAGGTCGTTGTCTAGACGTGAACTCTTTAGTTACGGATAGACAAACCCACGAAACGGATACTGTTCGAGAATTCTGAACTTTATCCCTAACAGCACAAGATTGACGCCGATGATACAGCGTACGGGGCTTAACTTTACAGCCATTTTACTGTTTACTAGTCGAGATTACTCCGTCCGCTAGTTAACCAGCTTCAAACCTACGAAGATTGTCGAGTAATTTAAGAAATCGTGAGGTGTTACTTGTGGCTGCTTGCCAAGTGATTTCAATTAAAATGTTATGTTAACTATTTACCTATTACTTAGGTAGTATTTAATTTTATTAATGTATTCAAAATATAAACTGATCTGTCGAATAAATTATGACATATTGCTCATTATTAATGGAAAGTAAGCCTTGGTTTACTTGAAAATGGATTCAAAATGGCGTTGAAGAAAGTGATATTTATTTATAAGTTTCAAATAAATTTCAATAGTAATCGTAACGTAGCATTATCATCTTCGTCAAAACCATCATGCATGACACGCTTCACTGAACATATTATAAATGATGAATTTAAGGCGATTACATGGCCGAACGACCTTGAGCATTAGAGCGAGACAACGCNAAGTATATAATAAATCTAGAATAAATAGATATTCAGACAAATAAATCTAGAAAAAATAGATAATCAGCATCTTGTATACCTGTGTATTTAAATTATCTTAAACATTTTATAATACCTATACATATTTAAAATGACGTAGTAAGTACTTAGATCACTTTCATTCAGCCGCCGGACTACTATGAGTACCGAGTGTACCATCTGCGCTATAAATTCTTTATAGAAAAACAAAGAAGCGGAGCGTGCCGATGTGCGACACAGCCTCCCCGTGCGAACGCTAGTGAAAGACTGAGCTCCCGCATTCGCGCGGCCCGCGTGTGGAAATTACAGGGTATTTTGAATGTATGACACGTAATACATTATTTTTGAAAAAAAATGAACAACAATTTTTTAGATAATTAAATTCTCTATCATTTGGTGAAAGAATCATTAAAATCGCACCAGCCGTTTAGGAGTAGTAGGAAATTTCTTTGGTGAAATTAGAAGAAAGTTAAGAATTTTTCCTGTCAAAACTAATAGTTGTAACAAAAAAAACGAACAACAATTTTTTAGTTTAAGATATTATACATCTCACACATATTTTTTTTTATTGTTTGGATCATCCATTTAGGAGGAGTAGGGATTCAAAGAGAGGTCTATTTTGCAGTTTTGCCTCACCTATCGCCTTAAACGATTACGTGCGCGGAATCTATTTGATAACATATATATTTTATAAGAACTTAAAACGGCAAATTAAAAAACTATATAATTATTTTACAAAATTATATTATGTAGGTACCTACCTACAGCAGAACAAAATTAAATATTTTTTGCAATTCAGACATTTCTTCAAAAATCGTTATAAGTCTATAAAAAAATCATTTCTTTACGGAAAATACCACGGGACATTGATAAATCAATCAATCTCATAATCACAAGAGTTTAATGTCACCACGCATCACTTTCCAGAAATTAATGTAGGCACATAAATATTATACAAAATGAAATTAAAATTAAATTAATTGAAATATTCAGCTAAGCACATCTAAAAATACCATAATATTACTCATCATATTGGCGCTTTTTTCGCCGGAGTTCCCAAGGGCACGATCCCATGACCGCTTCTAAATAATGTCATTTTGATTCCACGATTAGTAACCATGTGACATGTAATAGGTACCCGGCCAGGTGCTATAGTAGTTCTATAGCAAACAATGCTCATGAGCAGGACACAGCCGTCACGGTCCACGTCCAAGGTCTACGCTACTGGGTCAAAGGCTCCGCGCTTGTCATTGTAGGATTATTATAAATTATTCGTTGTAATATCTGCCTACATTTGAGGGAACTACTGCTCTTTATTGTATTAGATTCTGTAAACTGAAAGAACTAGTGGAAAAAGTAACAGTTAACGTTTCTATCTCGAGTATTCGCTAGTTGCCGCGTCGTGGGACTTGCAAAGTATACGGTCACGATTGTTGAGTGTTCGTATTTGCTAAAAACTATTTCCATGGTTGGAAAGGCAGAAAAAAAGAACAGGTGATAGCAAATATGTACGTATTTACTAGTAGAAACGTCTTGCAGCTGTATTCTGTCGTCTGCCTTATTATAAAAGAAACTTCCAGGATATTCCTCTATTTATTAGGTATTTAACTATTAGTCTTTCCCTAGTTAATTAAACATGGGAAGAAAAAAATGTTCATTTATAGGTATTCTAATCGAGGAAAATGTCTTTTTGCAACGTACCTCATTATCTGACTGAACAGCATGTTTATGTAAATATTATCCCTATAAAGTAGGTAATTAATCAGCATTAACTAATTACGTGGTTCCAGCAGCTAACCAATATTACCGATAGCATCAGTTCCCATGAGCCATTTAGTTCTATTTGATCAGTGATTGATAGACTATTAACTAATTTATTGGAGCATAGTCTGCCAATGTTCGCGCACAAAGACGGAACTAGGAGCGTCTAGGACGCTGGGTAGGTACGGATAATGCCGGGGCTCGGCGCGCGCGCAGCTTTAGACAGGATATAATTAAGGCTTTTTCAAGACCACTGCATGCATCATTTGTCATGACACTTGAAATTAATGTGCCTTTATATTCATGCGACTAGAGAACGATATTAAAAAGTTACATAGATTTATTTCTGACAAATAAATTGAGAAGATTATGGTGTAAAGCTAGATAAGAAACGTTTCGCTTTATTACTGTGGCTTTTTGCTTTTGTATCAGCCCACTAAATCAAAGCAACGTCAGACAAATTAACGTTCTTTTTGTTGTTGAGTAAGTTTCTCGATGAGTAAACTTAGGCCTGGAGTGGAATTTTATTACATATTTGCTGTGGAGCGTGGAGCGCAAGATCGCGCTCGTCTCGCTGGCGTCGAGAACCTTGTTCTTACAATGGACTACACGTTACATCGTTATCAGGTTTCGATTCATTAAATTGTATTAGATTACGTGTATTGCCTTTAATTGTATAAATAAATAAAATGTAGCGGAAACCGTAGGTTTAGTACTTAGGACAAAAGAACCATTTTAAAACAAAGGATTTGCCACAGTTGTTTCAATGTCTTCAAGTAAACAGTAATTTGCATATTTTTGTATTGAAGTGTTCCATCATCGTTCAGTAAAACTCAAAATACACAGATAAACATTCGTTTAATCCAGTCCAGCGCAATTGCGAAATTGTTAGAAACGTAATTAAATTACGATAATATTTTAAATACTAACTATGAGGAAGTTGGTTATCGTCGAGTAACACCAACGCTAAAACAGGATTCTATACTACTATTGTTATGGAACAATAGTATGTATGGACATACTTAATAACAATATGAGGTCTTACCAAATCAAAGATAGCGAGGAATGTTCACTTGATGTCACTCCAAAGAACAAGCACATAATCGCATCTAGAAATGTAGACAAGTGTCACCACAACCGCACGCAACCCGATCCCGGCGGCCTCTGAATCATCTCTGGGCTCATTAGACAAGAGCATCGCAATTGCTTGGAAAATAACATTCAACGTAACAATGTAATAGTAGAAAATGATAAATTACTTAGGACTGTAATCTCAGTTTGATTGCTTGCTTGAATTATATTTATATTTGAATCTGGGAAAGAGCACGATGGAATACTTATCCTATTTGAAAATGATCTCGAAATTATTAGCAATTTCTTCTCATGAAAAATAG